AGCCACCTGTCATGTGATAAAATTGAAGATTATGCTAGCTTTAGTGTACCGATAATCTTAATTTTAATAATGACAGGAGGCGAGTATTTTCCCTCCCTGCTCTTTTGCTCTTCCCTCCCTCTGTTTTAATGCATATTTCCAACTCTTTGTGTCTGCTATTATTGTACTAATGTCTAATTTGGGTCACTCATACACTTAATGCAGATTTGCCATGTGGGTGGGATGTTTTAGTTAGCACCGATAGACGGGAGGAATGTATTCGTTCTGTTTTAATATTGGTGGTTTTAATTTAATCGTAAGGAATAGACATTTCATTGTTTTTACACAACCATTTTTGGAATCTAATACCCTTTATATTCTCGTTTCAGTTTAACCAGATACCTCAAGGAACTAAAGACTCCATTCAAGATGTCATCATCGTCTTGTCATGGAAGATCATCACTTGACATCAAGAAGTCTTCGCTTGGAGTCTACCTGTTTCGTGTTCAGTTTTAAATGTTGTTCTACCATTATCTTACCACGGACCTTTACGAGTTATCTCTATTATTATTCTGTATTGTGATCTTGTGATGTCGCATGCTTTAAGAGGAAATGTCGTCATATGTTACACCTCTTATGCTCTATACTGCATTGTGATTGGTTCTCAGTTTTGTCACTCTTTTCTTTGCTGCTATTGAGTTAGTAAAGAAAGATTATGCAAAATACTCGCCTCCTGTCATTATTAAAATTAAGATTATCGGTACACTAAAGCTAGCATAATCTTCAATTGATTAAAACAAGTGTTATTTTTATTTAGAATTATGTGTTATTCATAGGTTTGGCATGATATGCTTATGATCATTTAAGTCTCATTCAATATCTTTTCCTCTGCATGGCTTACAAAATGTACTTTTGCCTGTTTTGAGCCAAATAGTTCCTGGAGAAAATGCCTACACTAAGTTATAGCAAGCAGTTTATATTATTTTATGATGTCCTTCCTTGCAGTAACATGGAATACTCTACCCAAAATGTATTTCTTCATAGTTCCCCTTCACCATACCTCTCTGTATGAATTTAAATGACATAATTTGATATGTGTTTAAAGAGAACAAACACATTTCAATGTAAAATCCAATCTGTATCTATCTATTTATCTGTCTGTCGGTCTGTCTATCATCTATCTATTTGTCTATCTAAAAAAATTGTCATAATCTGGTCTGCAATTTAATTTGGAAATTGGATATGTAAAACAAGATGCTGCCAAATTCCAGAGAAATAAATGGAGATTAAGTGTTCTCCGATGTACGTTAATATTTTCAAAAGAAAACAAAGATGAACTTGTGTTATATTTTTCCTTGTTTTCATTTTGGTAATAAAAGCACTTATGCAAAACTATGTTAATTCAATAAATTCAGAATACTTTAATCATATCATCTTTATTTGGCTATGTCTAAAATATAATTATCAGATTATCAAGGTATAAGCCTTTGGAGGGTAATAATAATATTTAATAAAAAAATGTAAATGCAACTAAAACAAAATATTAAAACCAGCCTAGGATAGGGAAAAGAGAAGACAAGTGTTGGCTGATAAATATCAGCCAGTTCCTGGCACTTAAAACACAACAGACTTTGAACAAAACAGGAAAATTTAGAGATGAGAATTGCTTTTGTTTTAATTTATTTTTGTCTTTTTTTATTGCATCAATTACTTATTACTAAAAGGAAAACTGCCATCATTTTGTATTACTGTTGTGTTTTATTTTAGAAAGAATATTTATGGCAATAACCATTTTAGTGGATATTCTAGCTTATCACTGCTCCATGGGGGCAGCAATATTTTTCTCTCCTTGGTTAAAATTTACATGCATAATATGAAGGTCTGAAACTGTCACAAGGTGCATTTTTGAAAAATGCTCTGAGCAAGCACAAGATGTCAGAATTTCTGACACTAGCTATTGATGACCATTGTGTTTTTTGGTCCGATAAAACAGGCTTTAAGTGTAAGCCAGGAGATGCACTGAAAAGTGATATTTATATACGGTAATGTATTACGAAATTATGTATATAGAGGCTATAATTCATGTAATCTTTTATTTTAAATAATCAATAAAAATTACAACAGTTTTCCTTTAACAAAACGGGTCAGTTACAATCACCATATTTAAATAATAACGCAATTTCCTGTCCCTACCATCCTTCTTTGTCTAGAAAATACTTAGTTTTTAAGCTCATCTTCCAGTGTGTAGAATAGCAAACTAAACATAAACTTTCTGAATAGTTGAAATCACGTCCTTGAATTACTGAAACTGCTGGTAACTGGCCACACTGCTCAAATACCTCATCCCAGGCAACACACTGCAATGTAAGAGTATGCTACAACATCAAGACTCCAACACATCTATATATGCAACCAATATCCTGTAAGGTCACTTCCTAATTTTGGTGTTGGTTTGGCACTAACTCCAGTTTTGACACAGCCAGAGTCAATCCAGCAACCTAACTCTAATTTTGATGCAATTGTGTCATTTTAGGTACAATGACAGCAGTTGAGAAGCAGTGTTATTTTTTACAAGGTCATGGTCACATCTTTCTGCCTCCAACTAACCTTTCATGATGTGAGCCTCATGATCCTTGTGCCTTTTTTAAAATCGTATTGGTGTCTGCATCTTGACTGGTACAGTGTGCATACCATAATGATGCTACGTTGATACAAGGGTATCAGGGCTTATTTAAACTTCTGTGATCTTTGGTCCAGTGCCCTTTTATGGTTTTAGATAGCTTTTAAGCATATTTATTAATTGTTCCTGATTTCCAGTTACTGACCCAGCTTGCCTTGATTCTGACCTTGTTACTTCCTGTGTTCCAGACCTGGCTATGTTCCTGACCTTGAGTTATCCAAGTTCTGGTTTCACATGTACCAGACCAGGCTAGTTCCTGGCTTTGGGTCAGCTGTTGCACTAGTTATCTAGCAATCTAATTTACCATATTAGTTTCACTGGCTTATAGTCTAGGTATATTATTATACTTCATATTACTTCCTAAAGCATTATGTATCACTCCTATTGTGCATTTTTCTCATGATTTGACGAATATCTTGCTAAGGATCTACTCTGTTCCTGACATTATGAAAGGGCCACATGGATCCTGCGAGTAAAGGTCAATAAGAGGAAGGGAAAAGGACACATCTATAAAGAAAATATATAATAATTTAAAAATAAAAGAATGAAAAAATAAAAGATAAAACCCTCATCCAGTGTTAATTTCTTAATTCCAAAACACAACAAATAAATCTAATTATTTTTAAAGCAATTGTTACAATGGACTTAGACAGAATGCTTTAAATCACCTTTTTAAAATATTATTTTGATGTTCCATAATTCTAGTTTTAAAATTACATGCCCCAGAAAGACAAGTTTTACTTGGTTTACTGATTTTTTTTTTTACAAAAATATGATCAATATTATTCAAGTTATATTTAAAGAATGCATTACATAGATTTGGTTGAATGGGTAGAAAATTATATTTGTGCTTCTCATGATGTTTACTCCCTACATATAGTCATAAATCATAATTTAGGTTTTAAGCCTTTTTATAGTAATTTGAGAGAAGATAAAGATTTGGATACTAATTTTATATGCGTCATTTTTTAATTTTTAATAAAGAATTTTATTAAAGGGATGACCATGGGCACCATGTTCGCACCAAGTTACACAATTATTGTTATGGATTAATGAGAAAGAAACTATGCATGGAACAATAATCCATTTGTGGCAAACTTGGTGCTATGGCAACAGTATATTGATGATATTTTAGTTATATGGAAGGGATCCTCTTTTTCAAAGATTCACTGAATATTTAAATATTTTTTGGAAGAAAAGATATAGATTTTTTTAGATCTTTCTATTTATGTTAAAAAATAATGTATCAAAACTAAATGGAAACATTGGAAAGCAAAGCAGACATCATCCTAAATAGTTTAAATGAGTTCCAAGGAGCCAATGAAATTGTACGGAAAAGGAACAATACTTTTAGAAGAATTCCTAAACTCAGAAGTTTAATGAATTGGAGCTAAATATAGAGATATCTTTTAATGGATTAAAAAAAGGCGAAGTAGAAAATAATACGTCTTCTAATAAGTTTTCTTTTAAATATAACTCAAATAATAAAGAGTTCAGTATTAAAAAGATTTTTTTTTTACTTTTGGTCTTTAGTATTGGATGATAAATACCTGCAGTTGCAGGTACCACAGGAACCTATTTTAGTTTTTGCAAAAACACAAAATCTTACAAATAAACTGGCTGAATTTAGAAAAAATGAATTTAAAATAAAATAAGTTTATTTTTAATAAATGTGGTAGATGCAATGCCTGTTTCTTCCAATTATAATTACCAATTTTAGTAGTTCTCAGACCAGAAAAGTTTCCAAATTAAACTTTGTTAATTTTTTGATCTATTCATGTTTTATATTTATTAACATTTAATTGTGGAACACAGTATTCAGAGAAGACTCATCATCATTTTAGAATTATGGAACATCAAAATAATATTCAAAAACGTGATTTAAAGAAGTTTTCTCATCCATTGTAACAACTGATCTAAATAAGATTTAAAAAAACTGGAATTGAGAATGTAAATCAGAGGGTGGGGGGTTAATGTTAAAACTTAGTAGTAGAAAGGGATATTGGATACACTGTTTTGTATCTAAAAGATTTAAAAATGGAATTTGACATGATCTGCTATTTATAATGTTTTTATACACATATCTTTTCTTTTTATAACATTTTTTAAATTATATTTTATAATTTGTTTTTCATTATAGATTTTTATATTTTTGTCTTTTTTGAATTATTTTCCTTTTTTAATATTTAGCATTATTGATGAGTTATTTTTCCCGTCCTCCTGTTCTATGCCACCCCTTCTTTCTTTTTCTCTTGTTTTAAAATGTGTGTGGATATCTATATATTTTGTAACATTAACTATTTCCTCAGTTGTAAAGTTTTTTCAATTTGTCATTTTTACTTTTTATGTTCATTTGGTGCAATGCAAACTGGACCAGAAGACTTTCTTTTTCCTGTATGGTGGAACGTAAAAGTCTGATGACACCCTCTAGTGCATGTCTACACAAGAACAAGATTTTGAATACTGGTGGAAAAGAAAGCAGAGCCATATGACACCAAGGCTGTACCAAGGCTGTACAACTGGTTGCAGATAGGTTCATTTTAATTGTGAACACAGGGAATTTAGATTTAAAAGGACGTTGGTTGGTGGGGCTAGGTATCAGGCTGCGATTATTTACTGATGGTGCATTGTTTTATTATTTTACCAATGAAGAAATCCATGTAGAGGTGGACGAAACTATTTCACTTCTCTCCTGTAGTTCTATCCCTTGTGGAGTTTGGGGGATATGAAGAACTAGATTACATTTCATACTGTAATGGTGATATTGCTGATTGATTTTAAATCTTTGTAAATGCATTTATGTAGTAAAGTCACAGTGTTAAAAGATGCTATGCTATGTTTTGTCTTTCTTTAATGCCTATGAATATGAGACATTTATGAGAAAAATAAAGAACAGAAGAATAGTCATTCAATAACCGTTACTTTGGGAGATAAGTCCACAGGATGAGTCAGTTCTCTCTAGTCTTTCTGGTCCTCTTGGCTCATAGTGCTGTACCTATCAGCAAAATTCCACATGTGGTTACTCAAGCAGCAAATTCTTCATCCTCTAACCTCCATAAAAGTGGAACTGAAAAGCGTCCCTCATTTCTTCCCTATCGATAGAGCTAAAGTGTATTACATTATTAACCAGTTAACTGGTAAAGCCTTGTTCTGGACTAATCTCTTGTGGAAAATAACTATCCATTAGTTTTCAATTATAAGCTATTTGTTCATTTTTTTGTGGGAAATCATGAACCAAATGTATCAAGCAATAGACCAGCATGTCTGTTTTGATTTGTGATTTAGAATTCCATATGTGCCACCAAAAACAAGAGATGATTGATGGGACAACAATTATTGATGGCTAAGGGACAACTGCTAACTGTTAATATTATTCACAGGTCAAGTGACAAGTGATTATTCAAAGATAAAAAGGAATAGCAGCCATTAAAAAAACACATCTTTATTTATACATTATATATTTAACAAATATATAAATATAGATTTATTTTACTGACCCTTTTTGTTCTCTATTGGTTCCTTTTTTTTTTTTACTTGATTTGTTAATCAAATGACAGGAGAATGTGCCTATGAGTGTACTGCAAAACATGTATACATAATGTAAAAACATTATGTATACATTTTGCAGTACATTGATTATCTATTTTTTACACTCTTTTGGCTTGTCTGATTCATTACATTAACAAAATTAGAGCGATGCTAAAACCGCTATATGGCCTAAATATGGCCAATAATGTTTTTTTTGTTTAGGTGAAGTGATTCAGTCGAAACAAATTTTTACAAATGTTTAGTTCTAATTTGCTGGGGGAGTACACTACAATACAGAACATTCACTTCAAAACTAAAATTTAATAACAGCAGACACTTTTCGATAGGGGCTATCTGATCCAATGTTGAATGAGATAGCAGCATGAGACATTCCCACAGATTTTGAAGACCTAGTAGTTCATATGAGTCAGATAGAGACATGCATCCATGCTCAACAATCTATTAAAGAGAAGGAGTCAACTAGAAGATTCTTGGTACTCCTAGTTCCTCAATTTTCTTTAGTTGATTCTAGGGCTGCTCCTTCTATTGCACCCCCTATTAATGCCACTGAGGGAGAACCAATAAAATCCATCTATTTAAAAAAAAGAGGGATGCAGATAACAGGAAGGTCTCTGCTTACACTGTGGGCCCAAGGGGTATTTAGAGCCAATTGCCCCAATTTGGCAGAAAAGATGTCCACACTAAAGACTGTTTAGTGCATAGGTCGTCAAACTCCGGCCCCCCAGAAGTTGCTGAACTACAACTCCCATGATTCTTTGAATTACATAGATAGCCAGAGAATCATGGGAGTTGTAGTTCAGCAACATCTGGGGGGCCGAAGTTTGAGGACCCACGGTCTAGTGGAAAGTCCTTAGGTCTAAACAAATCTTGACTACTCATTCCTTTTTTTCATTTCTGTTAGAGGGGTCACAGTGCACCCTAGCTTTAATTTTTCCAGTGCATTTTTTTGTAATTTTGTTTTTTTAATTCTATTTGTAATAGGGGCATTGGTTTTAATGGATTTTCATCTATGCTTTTGTGCGGATGTAAAAAAGAAGATTTAGGAAAAAACAAGACTTTAATAGTAAGTATATGTTTTGGTGTTATTGCCCCCCTCTTCATAACCCTGTTATTAGGGTGAGAAGGATAGGTAGATTTTTTACGATTTTGATGGGCAAAGTCTAGAGGCTTGCGGATCAGTGTTCACCAAGGGAGTCAATTATTCTTACCTTTGGTGGGTTGACAATAGCATGTTCAACCCCCATTGATTATAAAATAGATGCTATCCATAACCCATGCCTCTGTGCTTTGGGAGGGACATTAATATCAGAGCCACCACCTACATCCCATTGGTGAGTGCTGGGGAGACACTGTATCTATCAACCATTTTATTATTTAATTAGAGACAACTGGGGAGTCATGGCGAGGTGGTCAGTGATCTGTCCAACTCCGTTCTTTAAATTGAAGCCTCTACCCAATGCTATTTTGGGGTAGCAAGAGGGGGGTGCATTACTAGCGATTGGGCAGCAATAGCAGATTCCCATACACACTAATTACATTACACAGCTCCCTCACATTCTTCCCATTAACATTAAGCAACTACTCTATAAATGGAAGTGATCAAAGACCTCCTTCACTGGCCCAGTGCAGCCACTAGAGAAAAAGAGACCTTGCATATCACTCTCGCGAGCTTTGGTACTATCACTAATAGTATCACAGTGCCACAGCAATGTTCGACACTATCAAAGAAACCAAAACTCGCAATAATAATAATATACAAGGTCAGCACCGTCGCCAGAAGAGCTCACCACTGAACCACCTGGGGTCTGGTATGGGAGTACCACTAGTCACCGCAGTGGGTGACACCAACCGGTGATGCCGTTGATGGAGACTATGTGTGCAGTTATAGTGTCACATATTTAAAAATTCATACATCTGAATCTGCAGTGAGATGCATAAGATTTGTTCATTACTAATTTCTGGTATGATTTCCTAATCAGATAAATAAATAAATAAATAGTGTTTCTGACTGCACATGCAGGCAGTGCAAAGAAATAACTAAATACAAACACAAAGACGCTCACACATATATAACACTATAAGCACCAACACATCTTTAGCTTAGTGGAGTAGTTTGAGGATTTGTTGCATAAATCATGATCCTGCAGTCTCAGTGCTCAATTCTCTGCCATTTACTAGATAAATTTGTTTATGCAGACCTAGTCACACCTCACTGCATGTGACTTACACAGCCTTCCTAAACACTTCCTGCAAAGGGAGATCTAATTTTTAAACTTAATTTATTGCACAATCTGTTTAATTTAGAATTTCTTATCTCCTGCTCTGTTAATAGCAAGCCTCCTGTGTGTGATTAACAGAGCAGAAGATGAAAACTTCTAATGTGCTGTGAGATTTGATTGAAAATGAATCAATTTCTTCATGCTGGCAGTGTGAGTCACGACAAGAGGAGGTGTGGTTAGGGTTGCATAAACTGAAACATGATTTATTTAACTGCTAAATGGGCAAAACTGAACAGTGAAAATGCACAAGTATGATCTACAAACCCAAACCATTTCATTAAGCTAAAGTTGTTGGTGCTTAGAGCATCCCTTTTAAGTTTTATTAAAAACTTCCTTCCTTTCATTTATTCCCATTACTGCACAGCACAGGAGGCAATGGCAGCGTTAATAAATGAAAGGAACATACACTGGGTTAAAGTGGCACAGCCGATTCACACCCTTCTTGTAGATCTTTAACCCTCACAATGCCAATGGTTCCTTAAAGGAAATATTGAGAACCCCTTTCTGAATATTTTGCCTTTCTTAATCAGGTGTGCACTGGGAGGCGAGAGTGCATCAACATTCCTGCTGATGCATGAGGTTCTGAAATCTATTTAAGCTCTCATCTTCAGTACATAAGCAGGGTTCTTTACTAAAGTGAGAGCAGTTGGGAATTCAAATTTAATTTAAAGAGAATTTAAAATTCAAGTCCAAAATAGCTGAACTGGAAACCTTCTCCAGGATAGATTTGCTTTAATTTAGGAAACTTTGGCCTGAAATTAAAAGTTTACTTTGAACCTACTTTGAATTTCTCATGGAATGCTGACATTTTGTGACTGATTTACTTCGACCAGACAACAAATTGTACTGCTTTGAATATGTGCATCTCCAGATATGCACTTCTGTTATTATCTGAATTCAAGAATTTAAATGATGAAGTAAAAGTAAGCAATATACTCTGTTTTATACGCAATCCATGTTGTTCAGTGTGTTATATACAGTTTTTGAGTTAATCATCCTCACTAGGAAGATCTATTATCTATCTGTCTGTCTGTCTGTCCATCATCTATCATTCTAATAATGAGTCTGACCTGTCAGAAAAATGTGACATGATAAATGACTTAAAGACCATTTTAATTGACTAAATCGCAGCACTGTATAATTTCAACACTATGAAAAATAAATATATTTAATGTTATTTGTGGTAGCTGAGAAATTTGAACACAGTAGATGAAACAATACATAATAAGTGCAGATACCAGGTGGAGCATTTATCGAATGAATATAAAATTGACTAAATTCTTTAAATATGCACATATATTGGCAGGTTCAACGCTGAGCAGGAGTTCTAGAAAATATGATCTTGAGATGATTTACTGTCACATAATGAATGTGTCAATTTTTGGGAGAGGATGCATATGTCCAATAAAGACAAAATGCAGCACCCATTTATCAATAAAGCTTTGTGCATACAAACCACCAACATTTTCCTCAGGTCGATTCTGTGGAAAACAGCTGTTATGTATGCTGAAAAATGCCTTGAATTTGAGAAAATAAATAACTCAAAATGAGGCAAAATATTTTCATGAAATCAAATGACAGACTTTCTTTATGTGTGTTTAATGTTGCGGCTAAATATGTGGCTGCCCCAAGGGATGATTTTTTTCATTTGAAGGTTAAGCCAATATTAGCAAGAGAAAAAAATTAAATTAATCGAATGGCCTAGAGCATCCGCGCCACAGTTGATTCCAAGAAAGGATACAGAATGAGCAACTTACTAATTGTGTAAATGTTGTTAATTAGCTGTGTAAAGCCCCTAACCAGACTCTTCCTTGTAACTAATAAGAAATCAATTAGTTAATGAAGTGCCCATTAAGTATAATGCTAATCTTAGCCTGGATATTTTTTTTTAATGTTTCGTCTTCTTTCTTTTTTTTTTTTCTTTCTTTATGATCCTTCCTAATTGCCACTGCTATACAGAGCTCACAGCTTTCAGCATGCTTAATGAAACATCATTATATCATAACGGGCATTCTTGGAAGAGTTAGTGGCAAACCTGCTTCCCAATTATTTTTAATTGCCATACATACTCATAACTGGGCCTTTTACCAAGTAGTTCAGAGAGCTCGACTGTCATGTATTATATCCAATGATTCTATTTTGTTTTCTCAACATATGAACTTTGGCTTTGGTGTTACTCACTGTGAAGGCTTTACCCTAAACACAAATTAATGTAATTGCATTTTTGATTTGCAAGATTGGAGTCCACAGAGATCCAACATTGCTTTGTTAAGAATCATCCCCAATACAGCAAGTACTATACATCAGTATTTAATATAAAATGCACATACTTACCGTCCATTTCTAAGTTGGCATTTATGAAGATATTTGTTGGTTTCTTTTGGTAGCTGGAAAAGTGGAACTTATGTAATTTATTAAGGTTTATCTAAAATTGAGTCTGCAAGAAACCTATCCAAAGGAAGAATCTGTATTTTGTCTAAACACTTATCCATCTAAAAAGTGCTTAAAGTCATGAACCATTATATAACAAACAACTTCTCTTGGGTGTCTGCAGTCTCAAATTGTCTGGATAGAGCAACTGCTTCATAATTGTTTACATTCATTAAAAATGGATCTCCTTTTTTGCTTGCATAGTTCTATCATTTGATTTGATTTTGACTGCTTAATGTGTATTGTCTATATATTATCTTTTTTTTTCTAGACTTTTATATTAGTCATCACGGATATCCTGCAAGTAAGGTTTCATTAATATGCTTATTGAAATTACATCTGTATTGGAAAAATACTAGAGATTGCCCATTGGTGGGCATTCAAGGCATGGGTAAGAAGCTCTATTCTAGTATTGTATGCACAATATATTTTACAAATTACTCTTTTATTATTTATCAAGTGTAAACATGGGTTGTACATAGTTTGGTGAATGACACAGTAGATGTTGCGAAGAAAGTATCCAAAACAACAGCTATTTTGTGAGTGTCTATTGTATGCAATATAGCTGAATGATTCTACTTGACCATCACCTGGTCATTTCCTAGTGCTTATAGAAACATAGAATCATAGAAACATAGAATGTGACGGCAGATAAGAACCATTAGGCCCATCTAGTCTGCCCAATTTTCTAAATACTTTCATTAGTCCCTAGCCCTATTTATTATTTAGCAATCAGGACAAATCCTAGAAATTTTGATGGTTTATTTAATAAAATACAAGGGTTCAAGAGAGTCACATCAAGGAACTGCAAAAGAGGAAACACAATTTAACTTATTTTTTTGTACAGTTGTGCAAATTATACTTAAAGGGCTCTCTGTTAGGTTTGGCTATGTTAAGGTTGAAGGCTGGAGTCCAAACTGTGGTTGATCACTAAAAGGTACCTGTGGAGGCAGGAAAGGTCCAGGGCAACCAAAACACAAGGAGAAGCAACATAGCGTTCAGACAGTGTAAGTGTCTGTGAATTGTTCATAAAGAATAACTTACGTTTGGCCTTTTTGTTTTTCTTCATTTTTTCTATGATTTAATGTTTAAATATTAAAAATAAAATAAAAATTCCACCTATAATAATTGCCATATAGCTAACAATACAAACAACTTATCTTGGGTTTAAAACATACTTTTTCACGAGGATTAATTGGGGTCTTTGGCGTTGTTAACATGATTGTGCATGTTCCCACCAAGATGAGTGAGATTTTAAGTTCTCAGAGTTATTGGTAGATGGTGAAGAGGCTTGAACAATGGTCATTAAGAAGAGGCTAACAGCTCATATTTTACTCAATAGGAGCCATTAACAATAATGACAGTAAGTAATCCATAGTTGCTAATGATGAGATTTTGCTGTCAGGAAACAACAGCTACTCACTAAGTTTAGCAACAGCAACTTTAGTAGTTCCTTGCGGTCCAATAAAACTCATTGACAACATGAGAAAGGAGCCTTAAATATGTACCTCCTCACACTCAAAAATCCTAGATTTTGATGCCTGGAAGTCTGAAGTTCTAGCACTGAGCATGCCATATTCTGCAAAAGCAGAAACATTGACTCAGAATGTATTTATTTTTTCAACTCTGGAATACCCAAAGAAGAAAATCTAAATTTCTCTGCCCTCTTTCTTACAACCACTATTCTCTACACTTTACACAACAGACCACATGGGATCCAATATGGCATCTTATGCCTCACATTCATCCTGTACTGTAGACAACCATAGCTAATCATCAGCCTCTTTTAATTCCTCAAAGGTCTATCTTCCATTAGAAGAGGTGAAGTTACTAATATATGAAATGTATGAATAGACTGAGTAAAATATTAGGACTATGATATATCATATTGATCTAGCTAAAGAAAGGAATATAGAGATAACATTGGGAGGTTAGAAAAATCTGCAAATACACTTAATGCACATAATTCATTGACAGGCAAGTTAACATTGATCAGAACAGTGATTAACTCATTTAAAGAGAACATTATGGACCATGAAGATTGATCATATCATAATAATATTAGATTTGAAAGGCAAACCTAAGACTGTCACTAATGATGAAATGTCAGCCCTTTTGTGCAGATTATTTTCCACACATATTTTGCACTGGATATACCACTGGAAAAGTTACTGTAATATGTCACAAAGTTCTACAATGCACCAGAAGGTGTTTCCCAGGATGTAATTAACTCCATCCACTATTTAATAGACAATATTTCACTGGGTTAGGCAAATATTCTCTAAGTCTGCTTACATTAAGATCTCTAATCTTTCCACTTTTACATTTCAGAGACACAGAGAAATCCTGCTTACTGCTGCTATTAAATGACTAAAAAGGGGACTTGCCGTCATCTGTGGTCAAAAGGAATTCTACAACATGTCCTTCAAAGCTTAAGTGACAGTGGTCCATTAGCAGAAAACTAACCAAATGATTTATTTTGCCAACAAGTTTTCTTCCATGAAGCCTTTGGGCATCTCATCACACTTGATTAAAGCAGATCCGTCACTTGTCTGAATTTCTGAAGTTTTTTAAATCACTCTTATACTTCTCAGGCTTTCAGTTAATAACCATTGTAAACCATTCCTACTGAAATGTTTATACTTTGTTGAATGTCCCCTTTTTTAGTTCTCTGCTTTTTTCCATGATGGACTTTAGTGCACCCGTATTAATCTATATTTTATGTCAGATAGTGTATAAGCAGGTACCAAGTAATTACCAATTCTAACAGTCAGCTTTTCTGCCTTTGTTGACCGCTCCATATTAAAGTCCTATTTGTGACTCTTTCCCTGAGCCAACTTCTGTGATACTATTATACTTTAGATTTTGTTTGCATTTGGTATATCTAGCTTTTTGGTAATTCCACTGAGAACATCAGCAGTTCTTATAGTTTATGTATGTACTGTAGTTTCCTTTTTTATTGGTTAATTTAATTTTTTCTTTTCATTTTATATGCTTTACTGCTTCCCACTATTTCTTAATTAAACTGTATCTCTTGGGAGAAACTCAGGTAATTTATTTATTTATTTATTTATCATGTTCGACTGATTATCATTTATTAAAAGTTTCAAAATTCTAACAAGTAATTACAAAGGTTTAAAAGGATCCCATAAGCAAAACACAGTTGTCAAGAAAAGAATAAGTAGAATGCTCATGATTTTCATTCACGAATAAAACTTTGTAAAGGGTAAGAACCCAAATTGGTGTGATTTAGATTTATTTTCCCCTCTTCCCTCCTCTGCTAAGACCAGGCAGGGCTTGTTATGTGTTACCAAACACCTGATAATACCCATAAATTCAGAAATATATTTACTATATGTCTCTATTCCATGCCTTCTAATCACTTTTAATGTGACGAGGAAAGTCTCTTTTTAAAAAAAATATTTTTTATCTTGAATAAAAATTCCACCAATGTTTATTGTCACCATTATAGCATTATATTCCTCCCATTCTACCAAGGTGGCCCAAGCCAGTTCTATTTACATCCAGATTTAAAAATTTCCTTACAATATGTTTGCAGATGGTATTCTGTTAACACTCACTGATCCTGTTCTCTCCCCTGTCAGCTTTGTAGTGCTGTTTAAATGAATATTGGTTTAGTTTTATGTCATATTGTGAATCTTACAAAATCACTTTTCTCATATTTGATTACCCAAACTATCTTACTGAGATAATTAAAATTTATTTGACAGGAGATAGCATTATGTTGACTACTTGAGCCTAATTTTTTTTTTTTTTTTAAATCCTCAGTTCTTGTAAATAAAAATAACTTACTTAGAGGGAAACTATAGTCACCCAGACAACTTCATCTCAATATCCCTGTCCTTTTAGCCCTGCAATGTAAAACAAGATAGCCTGTCGTGGTCTTAATCAGGTCAGATAAGAGACTTTGGCTAGAGTTAACATTAGGTTCTTTACTGGTGAGTTTGGACATAGTAAAGTAGAAGTAAAACCTATAAATGAGATTATAGGCTGAAGGAAAAAAGGAAAACATATAAATGGAATTATTGGCAAAGGTAGATAGATAGAACCTATAAACGAAATTATAGGTAAATAGGTAGAAGGTAAAGTAATAGAAATAGAGATTTAGGCAATATGCCCCAGATAGGTTGCTACCAAGATATAATTAGATAGTAGCAAATACCTAGTGGAAAGTATAGGGTGTATAGAAAAACAAGTAAAATAGAATAGAACAGTAAGGTTTCAGAATTTCAAGTAAAGTAGACATCAGCCCCCTGTTTGGGAGGGAGTACTGATAATACAGGTAAATAACACCTTGCAATATTAGTTAGTAGCAAAGTCCAGGTTGGTATAGAGCAGGTTGGCTGTGTAAATCAGGTAGGTATAAAGCAGGTTGGTAAGATAAAGCAGGTTAGTAACGTAGTTCAGGTTGGTATAGAGCAGGTTGGTTGTGTAAATCAGGTAGGTATGAAGCAGGTTGGTAAGATAAAGCAGGTTAGTAGCGTAGTTCGGGTTGGTATGGAGCAGGTTGGTAATAAAGCTGGAGTGTAGAATAGTTCAGGTTGGAATAAAGTAGGTTGGTAATGAAGATCAGGTTGGAATAAATAAGCTTGGTAGAGTAGATAAGGTTGGGTTTCAGCGGGATGGTATCAAAGTAGGTACGTTTACAGGAACCAGGAACAGAAGTCTTTCGGGTTGACCATCAACTTTATTGTAAAGTCCCTGTATTGAGCAGGGTGTAGCCTTTTGTGGGATAAGCTATCAATCCATGCAGGTGAGGATGATGAAGGCAAGTTAAGTTCTCATGGTTAGGGAGGCCACTAGTGTTGAAAAACTGTAACTTATTTAAAGAAACAGGAATAAAAGAAACATAATTCTTGGTTGTCAGGATAGGATCCTGATATAGCCCCTTGAGCTACTTCCGCAGTACTGACTGAGAAAAACTCGATCACGTGATGTGAAGGCGTCCATAGAAAGCCGTTGATTTTATGTTATTCTATGGGGAAATTTGAATGCATGTGCGGTCCCCAGTACTTCTCTATGAGAAGCATTGGATTGGAAAATGCCAGAGGAGGCCATGCCTCCTCTATGAGATCACTGGAGGACGAGAGGTGAGAAGCGAGTCTCCGTGTTGGAAAAAAGTTAGTATTTAAAAAAAAAAAAATGTTATACAAATTTTAATGCACCTGGGGGCTGAATAAGAGTAGGAACATGAACAATATAGCTTTAGGAATACAGATTTGTGTTCTTTTAAAGTTTGGAAATCTATTAAATGCAATCTCAGAAACGGTGCTTCTTTGATTTCTCATTTTTGGAAGAATCTCTGCACTTAATTTGATGGCTATGTCTAAGCTTTTGTTTATTTCCCAGGATATCTCCGCTCAGTTTCTAAGACTCTGTTAAAAGGCATTTTCCAAATCTATTTGGGGCAAAGCTCATGTTCAATTCGCAGCTTGACTCCTGCATAATCCTGTAACATTTGGTATTGTCATTGTTGGCATTACTGTAACTCAAAAGACAATGTATTTTCTCCAATAAATAAGCTATTCTAGATATGTTCTACCATTTGGGGATCCACTTCCTGTTTTAGACTATTTTCATTGCTGCCCACTTTGTGATACCTCAAACCTATGTTTCACTTATTGTTAAATATTGTTTTTGTTTGAATTGATTGTTACTGCTTATTATACTATGTATACTGAATTACTGTAGAACAAAAACAATGTAGAGATGTTTAGTCTCTACTCTATAGATTCTGCATTATTAAAAAAAAAAGTGAGGTAAACATACTGTATAAGATATTATTTAGAACAATGCAGATAAAAAAAACTCTGATACTTCAGTATCTCAGCATTTCAATAATATGCAAAAAATCAATGAAGTTCATGATTGGAAAGCCATAATTTTTAACAATCATATTTCATATACATGATTATATGCTTGTTTCCATTTTTATGTAGTACATTTATTGATCTAATATAGACTGCCAGAGGATTGAGAATGAATATCAACAATGATGTACAGGATAGAACCCGTACTCACAAGAAGAGACTAAGAAGCCAGAGGAGAAAAGATGACCCAATACAAAAATCTGCATAATGAACGATAGGTGAATGTTAAGAAATTAAATTCACGAAATTAAATTGAATATATATTATGATTCTTTGACTTATCTTTTAATATTTTAATCCACCCCTTCATTAAATTGATTTGGGTATATATATAGTGTATTATATATATATTTATACTCATTGACACACACACACATATATATCACTAGATGTCAGGAAAATTGTATTAACCTATTAATAAATCAGATGTACCTCTAGCAATTAATGCTAGAAGAGCGCATACAATTCTGATTGCTTGACTGTTAATGGTTTTAATCAAAAGACTGAGAGAAAAAGCCTAAAGGGAAGCTCTCTACTAAATCCCCTAGTGGGAAAGCAGCCTAACTGTTAACAGTAATGCATAATATACCCTTTATTAGGTGTACAATAAAAGATATGAATGATTAGTACAACGCATATATAGTATGACTCAAAATATTGTTTATTAATGGCTGCTGCAAAGTCAGTAAAAATATGGGTCAATTTGGTTTCTCCTATTCACTCAAGATTCACTATTACGAATACAGAAACTGAGGAAGAATTAAACGGAGCTAGACCAAAACTGAGACAAAGCAAACTGACCCTCAATATTTGAACTACTTCCAAATCAGTTCTAAAATAAATCGATTAATAAGTAGACTAGCTGAATGCTTACGTATATACCTTATTGAATACATCAGTTCCAAAACTGGAGTATGTGATACAATCAGTGGTGTATTTTGGATCTGTGCTGTCCTAGGCATGATGGAACTTGGGCACCCCCTAATTTACATTTGCCCCACCCCTTCCTGTCAATGCCACACCCATTCCTGTCAAAGACAAACATACTCTTAGACTGACAGACACACACTCTCAGATACAATGACATACACACACACTGATTTGACACAATCTGACAGACACACACAATCACTGACTCACTCGCAGACACACAAATCACTGACAGATGCATACACACTCACTGACATACACATTCACTGACAGACTCACTCATAGACACACACTGACAGACACACATAATAACTCACAGCCACACTCACAGAAATACACACACAATCATTCAGACACACAGGCTCCCTTACAGACACACACTGACAGACATACACACACACTCTCACTCACAGACACAAACACTCACTCACAGAAACACACTATTACTCAGACACACACTGACAGACATACACTCACTCACTCACAGACACACACTGACAGACATACACACATTCACTGACAGATACACACACTGACAGATATACACACACACTGACAGACATACACACACACTGACAGCCACACACACACACACACACACACACACTAATGGCCAGACACACACAAACACACACACTGACAGCCAGACACACACACACACTGACAGCCAAACACACACACACACATACACATACACACACACAAACATTTCTCACCCAACACTCACAGATTTTTTAAAAATTTTAATTTAAATCCACTCAGCCTCCCTACCTTTGGGAGAGCTTGTTGGATTTGTTTTACCTGGGGTGCAGTGGGGCTGCTGGTCGGACTGTTTGGGCAGGGAGGGAGGCAAGGGTGCAGGCAGGCGGTGGCCAGTTGAGGTCCAGGTGGGCGGCGAGGGAACGCTGCAGAGTGATGCCGCAAGCTGGAATATGCCGTCCGCCTGGAGTTAAGCTAGCCGCTTGCCACCAGGCTAACAAGGCATTTACCTGGGCATTTGGGGCAGTGTTTTTTGCCACCCCCTGGAAAATTCCGCACAAGGCAAATTACCGGTTTCCTTGTGGCAAATATATCGCTGGATACAATGAAGTAGAAAATCAGTACTTGCAAGTGACCACCTTCTACTACTCCATAAACATATGTATCAATCCCCTCCACATAAGAAGAGTGCCAAGGGTTATTTAGTAAACTGAGAATTGTCGGTAATTCAAAGTGAATTTCAAATTTAAGGCCAAAGTACAAGAACTGGAAATATTCTCAAACTCATCTATGCTTCCAGTATGGCTGCTGCAAATCCCCTTTAAATTAACAGCAATTCTCACTTTCGTAAATAACTCTGTAAGAGTCATGAGTTACAGTGCAAAAGTAATGCAAAGAAAACATGGATATATGTACCATGGGTTACAACTATCTGATGCATTATGAAGAAAAATAAGCAAATTGACAATGAGTGTCTATACTGCCTATAGGTAACTGTGCCACACTTGCAAAACAGAAACAAAACTAACCAAAGTCTAGTATTTTGGAGAGAACATACATAGTAACCTATATGAGTCAGTAAACTTCTGAAAGCTTATTAAATAATATCTTATACTCTCCAAACCAGACCCAAACTATGACTCCAAAAGCAGACAATAAACCATTATAATGACCTAGCTTAGATGTAACTATTGCATTGAACAAATTCTTTATTAGATGTGCAACTTTACTGATTTCTAATCTAAAATATGAGTGAAAAGGACAAAGTTACAACAAATCAGTTCCCCTGCAATACAACACTTTGGAAATTAAGTTGAAGGCGGTAATCAATAGTGATATACATAAATCCCTCCTTAAATTTCAAATTAAGTTACATTCTGAGCTTGAACAACTACCAGTTATGTTACTGAAATTTAGTGTAGTGCTAATTGCCCATCCCATTTCACACCTAATGAATTAATCCTTAGATGTTTAAAGCATTCAATATGGTTGACCACAGGATTTTATTCATTCAACTAAGGAATACGTAAAATATAAACTACTTGTCTGGATACCTGATCCATCCTGACATCTGTCAAATATTACGTAAACCGTCTCAGTTCTGACCCTGTCTCCAAAACTGCCTACATCATAAAGCACACTGCTCCATCTTCAGTCCATTTTATCCTAAAAATGAAGCAAGCACACATCATTCCAGCAACAGCATTCACTCACTTTTTTGTGGTATAGGAATCTAATGCCTATATATTCTCTGTCTACCTTGGAACATGTGTCCTGTTGTGGTCTCTAGTCGCCCACCAGTGCATTCATATTATGTCTTTGATGATCTGTTTTTCAACTTTTGCTTGTTCTGCAGTTATTGTAAACTATTTTATGAATAAATATTGCATTATGGATAAATGTAATATACATAGTAAAACTTTTAAATAATGAAACATAAATAAAATATTCATGTCTGAAGGTTACTCATTTCGAACAAATTTTCTAGATCTGCTGTATCTATGGTGAGTCTGTGGAGACTGGGTCCGGGCTGAGATTATTCAGCCAGTGCTGGCCCTTTGATTGATTATGTTGGGGTGTTGCTCCTATGTTGCTCCTAAATTACTTTCTTATGAAAGCTATGGGATAGGTGAACAATGTTAATATATAGGTTTTCTCTTAGGTTATTTAACCTTTTTCCACAGAATTGGATCAGAATGGCACTAAGGGCTAGTGTCAATGTTTTTTTCCCAATAGTTTACAAAATGTAAGTTTGCATTATAGATGGTAACTGAGTACCTGCAATCAGAATGGTGTCACTAGACATCATCCTGATTGAAGGTACTCAGTGTATATTTTCAGCTTATATAATGAAAGACCAGAGTGAGCCAAGCTGCTGACATGACTCCATCCCAAAGCCAGTAATTGATCTTTCATTGGCAAAGCTACACTGCTGAACTTCCAATCAGGAAGACAGTCAAAAAAATGGGGTGGCATTTTTGTTTGATCAGAGAGAAACATACAGCATGAATTTGAGGCAAAACATATAAAAAGTACATAGGTGGCTGGGGGCGGGGCCGGACCACCATGTTAAACGGTCGCATGCAGGAGAGGCTCCGGAGAAATCTGGCCTTTTAAGCTACAAAAAGCAGACTTTGCACAAAAAAGAGCCCGCTTAATACCTATGGCTGTGAGAGAGGCAGCAGACCCCGAGATCTGGAGTTTTGGACCCCCTGGGTGTTCACGAAACTTCAAGGGTTGCGGCCTACCCGGGAGGGGAGCGAGGTGGATGTCTGCTGCGAGGTCTCCCTACCCGGCTACCACATGCTGACTGTCTGAGTCGCTAGCCGGACCCGTTTCCCCCCCTTTGGACTGGGGGGTCACCCTGGTCCCCACTGATGAGAGCTCGAGATGTGAGGCAGCTGAGGTGCACAGAACACCCGAGGCCTACCTCACAAAATGGCAGTGGCTCACAGCACTTCGACATCTATTCCTGCACCACGGAGCACCTTCGAGCTGCAGTCACGCCACCCGTCCTGGTGGAAAACCCCAAGGCAGGGTATCGATAGATACATCGACCACCTCGGTCCGGGAGAGAGAGAGAGACCATCTGCCCGAAACAGACGCCCACAGGCAGGCCAGGTGCAGGATGCGCCAAGCCACGGCGGACTTCTGCTAAGTGGACCTACCCAAACATCTACACGCTGGTCAAGTGTGGTACTTACCTGGACACCAAGCCTGACAAATGAATATCTACCAAGAACAGAGGAGTGCCTGCGACTTCTGAATGGACCGGACGGTCTCCACTACCCTTATAAGGCGCTGAACTGCTGTGTTACCAGATAAATATCTAAGGGGACCGAGTAAGCCTTGCAGGCATAGAGACACTCACAGCCCACAGCCCACAGAACATGGACTTTATAAGAGACAACAGCTTCAAATACATCGCTTACCGCCTAAGACATAATGCACTCTAAAGTACACCGTGGCCATATTTTCTTTTCTCTAACAGTTTCCCTCCACCTGCCTCATGCAGAATCTAGTAATATTACAAGGGTTTACTAATCTCAAGTGGTCACTTGTATGCTTGTTTATTAACTTGACCAACTTGTTTAATAAGCTACACGTCTAATGATACTTGTTTGCGACTAACACCTTGTCTCACGCAGACATGTATGTTTCAGCTAGTTTAAGTGAGTACAAAAAAGCATTGATTTATAGCTACATTATCTCACAACACAGGCACTCTAAACTACATAGCAGTAACCCGACAGTTGTGTTAAACCTGTATTTAATACACATGTTAATTTTAAAAAATGTGCAAACACTCATGCCAATGCTAAACCTGTATGAATCCATATTGACGCTGTTGTGGCGGCTGACAACATTATGTACCTACCTGCACAACAACAAAAAAATAAAAATAAAAGTACATTATGTTGCTGCCTGTAGTGTTCAGTAAAAAAAGGGGTAGTAATAAATAGGAAGAATCAATAAAAACAATATATAACTTAGGAGTGGAATTGAAATAAAAGAACAAAAAAAAATACATATGGTTTGCGTCCATGTCATTTTATAGGCAGAACAGATGTATCCATGTAAACTATTTCATTTGCAGGTGACAGACAAGGGGAGAGTTAGTTTACTTTGTTTATGCAACCCTAGCCACACCTCCCATGCATGTGACCTACACAGTCTCCTTACACATTTCCAGTAAAGAGAGATCTACTGTTTAAACTTCCTTTATTGCACAGCCTTTTTAATTTAGATTGTCTTATCTTCTGCTCAGTTAATTCAATTTGGTCCCTTTAACTCAATCTTTAAATAAAGACTAACTCTAAAGATTTATCCTATATATACATCTTAACTCTATGATCAGAATAGATCTAGAAGACATACACTTCTATCCAAAAAGGGGACAAATTAAAAGGTAGTTCTCTGATTACCTTGGCAGTAATAGGGGGTTGTCAACCTTCAGTGCTCCAGATGTTGTGGATTATATCTTTAGTCATGCTTTGCCAGCACTATGGTCGTAAGAGCATTATGGGAGATGTAGTCCTCAACATCTGAAGTACTGAAGATTGCCTACCCCCAGCCTACATCTACAGTTACACCAATGGCTACTGCTCTCCAACTAACTTGCAAGTGCCTTCACTTACAACTACATATGGCTAAGGTAATCCCTGTTATCCTCAGTGCTAATTGTCAATGTTAAACCTTAGAAAACCTTAGCATATAGTAACCAACTACTCCTAGCTGTTGCACACAAACAAAGGAAAATACTTGAACAAATTAAAGCCTACAATAACACTATAGATAATAACAATTCAAGTCAAGCCATCAATAATTAAGGGAATCAATTTTAGTAATAAGAGTGTGCCTCACCCTCAAAAACAGGACACTTTTTTGGATACACCAGCAGACACTGCGTTGAGACATACCTCTGCAGGCCATTATATGCGTCGTTATTACCATAGTGTAACATTATCTATCTCTTTTGAGTATTGGGTGATGCACCCTTTCTTTCTTGAGATATCGTCCATGTTATATGGGGTATATTGACTTTGTATTATTTATAATTGAAGCTGTTGGCCAGATGCCTAAGGATTTCATATTTTTCTGTTATAATCAACTGAACAATGTATGTGTACAGTAAGCTATGTTATATTATGAATAAACCATATTTTACCTAGCATGTAAGCCAAAGATTAAGGAGGACCTGTCCAAATTTGTGCTATGCTAAAGTATGCATTGGTGCAACAGTTTGTCTGTTTTAGCATAAATTTGGCAATTTGCTTATCAACTTAACAACCCCTGGATGTTGGGCTAAGGTAACATCCCCAGGACGTACTTGAAAACCAGAGTAATCTAAATGTACCTTTCCTGGTTAAATACTTTGTTATTATTATTATTATTATTATTATTATTATTATTATTATAGAATTAACCAAAGTGCAATAGCAAGTCGTACACTCTCTCTCACACGTTCAAGAAAATGTAGGTTTTGATTTTAAATCACTAAAGTGATGTGGAGATGAGTAAATTTTAATTGTACTTTTTACGTGTATATTAAGCTCATCATGACAGAGGATTTACCCAGTCCATCATGCTATAAAGCTATTGATTTATCCAAAACCTTCAGAATGCCTCCATCTCTTAATATAATACAATGTATTTTGGAAGTCATTTATCACAGTCATTCATTATATTAAATATTATTGATATTCTTTCCAGAGTTATTGCAATTGTAGTGGTATGTGTTATTTCTCATGGCCAACTACTTATATATGGTTAAAATGTTTAGACTTTTCTAAGACTCATTTAAAAATAGCATTTGTGTTTTGTTAGTGTCGCCTAAAGATTTTTTTTCTTCACTAACGTAAGAGGTCATCACATCATGAGAATGCAATGTGTAGAGGTTTGCTACTATAATCCGACTGATTAGTTTAACAATTAATATTCCTAGATAATGTTCCATCATCATTTTGAACAAATATATTTAATTTATAGAAATACCGAAAGGATCAAAGGAATCAGAAGCTATTTAGGGGAAGTTCGGTACTTTGCAAACGATAATACATTCAGAGAACACAAGATATTTACAAGGTTTTTACTAAAGTGAGAATTAAATGTGATTTTAAAGTGAATTTAAAATCTAAGGCCACAGTAGCTGTACTGAAAGCATAGCTGGGTTGGATCATTTTCCAGGCCAGTTATTTTGGCCTTAAGTTTGAAATTCACATTGAATTTACTTTGAATTGTCATTTTAGTATAAAAACCTTTTAGCCTCTTAGTTTTCTAAAAGTATTTTTGTGAATTTGTGGTTGAAGATTTTGAGCTTAATGAATAACTCGGAATGTGTTGCAAAATAGTTGGAGATATTTAGGATTATTTACGGGTTAGAATTTTGAAATGCTGATAAAAGATCTGTAAATGAGGTCCCAAAATAGCCAAGAGGGAAAGATAACTGAATTAAGCACTTTATTCAGTTTGTCTATTTTGGTCTAAAATGTGCAATTCACTTTGAGTTATCCTCAGTTCACACTTTATTTAGTTAAAATAATTGATGCTGTCTGGAATGACTTATTCTGTTAAAATCTGACCCATAAAATTGGTTGGAAGAGGAATCATCAATCAATAGCTAAGTGATGTACCAATACAAGGGACATGGGAGGAATGGCCATTTTTTCTCGATGAGATCCAAGATGTCACTTCTGTTTACTATATAAAATTACTGTATATACTCAAGTAAAAGTTGACCCGTATATAAGCCGAGACCCCTAATTTTACCCCCCAAAAATGGGAAAACTTATTGACTTGAGTACAAGACTAGGGTGGAAAATGCAGTAGCTACTGGTAAATTTCTAAATAAAATTAGATCCCCAAAAAATTATATTAATTGAATATTTATTTACAGTGTGTGTATATAATGAATGCAGTGTGTGTGTGTCTTTAATGCAGTGTGTTTGTATGAATGCAGTGTGTCGTTGTGTGTATGAATGCAGTGTGTGTGTATGAATGCAGTGTGTGTGTGTGTATGAATGCAGTGTGTGTATGTGATGCAGAGCCTTGGTGGGGGTGGGTATTTTTATTATTATTTTTTAATTATTATTATTATTATTTTTTAATATTATTATTATTTTTATTTTATTATTATTTAAATTTGTATTTATTTATTTTCGTCCCCACTCCCTGCTTGTTAGCTGGCCAGGGAGGGGGGCTCTCATTCCCTGGTGGGGTAGTGGCATTGACTGTGTAGGAGGGGGCTGGCAGAGAGCTGTAACTTACCTTTCCTGCAGCTCCTGTCAGCTCCCTTCACCTCTGGTCCGGTCAGCTCCCCTGTCAGCTCCACAGAGAAACATGACAAAATATGGGAATCACGGGTGAATAGCACCTTAACAGAATGATGGTGTAGTTGGCGAAAGCAATGGAGCAATTGGTGGACCTTTCCTAAAGATCTGTCTCTTGTTCTCTACTTTCTTCTTTTCTTCCTCTCTTTCCTTCCTCCTTTCTAACCTATCTTATCTTAACAAATTATGACTACAACAGCAGCTCTTTGCTCAAGAGAATCCATAATGACATAGAACCCTTATAACATTGAGGAGTCTATAATCTTGAACCTAAGCATAGGTGATTTGTCCATGTGACCTATTGCATTATATGTGAAGCAAGAGTTACGCTATAGTTTTTATAAAATTACAAAACTGTGACACTACTTTTTGGACACTACTTTGAGGCAGATATAAGCTTGATATCTACTGTAATGTTACAATGTTTGTACAGCGCTATATATCTCATATCTCAACAGAAAAAGCACTGCTATCTTTTGTCTTGCATGTAACCATTACATTGAATGTCACCAAAAAGAAATATTTTTTGGAAAAAAATTATCACCATCTGTTGGAAATACTTTTCAATGTATTTATCTACAAAAATGTCTATAGACTTTAATGGTGACTTCTGTAGATACATCATTTGAAAAGATTATCCAAAACAGCTAGATTTAGGCCAAGGTTGGAAAAAAAGCTAAAAAGACCCATTGCCTTGAGATTACAAGGAGCTTGTAAGTAGCTAGGTATGGAGTCTAAAGTAGAGAATAGTGATACCATGGCCAGGTGAGTGTGCACTCTTCACCTGTCTACATATACACACTCCCTGAAAGATAACAATATGGAATACACTAGACCAGGGATAGGCAACCTTCGGCACTCCAGATGTTGTGGACTACATCCCCCATAATGCTGGGAGATGTAGTCCAAAACATCTGCAGTGCTGAAGATTGCCTATGCCTGCACTAGACCCTATCTGGAAGGGTGTTTATGTAGACAGGTGAAGAGGAAGTTCCC